GGCTACGGCTCCAAGGAGGCCAAGGAGCGCCGCATGGGCCACAGCACGTGGGATCGCTACTTTGATGTCGCCGCAGGTGAGTGAATATCTCTGAATATCTGCTCGTGTCTCGCGTCTCGCGTCTCGAAATAGACGAGGAAATACTCTTGGCTGCTCGCTCTGCTCTATTCGGTTCCAATGCTGCATGATTCATAGTCGGCAGACGACTTCACTTGTATCTCTTAGATACTTTTGCTTTTTATTTCGCTATTGCGTTTGCCGTTGCTTTTCTTAGCAATTAGCAACGCCGCCGCGCGTGTGACACTTGAACGCATGAAAGTGTGAAAAATTTTGAACAACTGCTGCAAGCTGCCGAAATCCTGCACAATGGAGCGCATAGAATGAGTAATTGTATTAAAAATATGGACTACAGTGGTCGTGCAATGAATTTAATTGCAGCAGCAATTGCACTTAAGCGCAACAAATAATTGGCTGCAATTTTAGTTGGCTATGTTAGTAATTAACTAGCGGGTTTTTGGGTTTGATTGTGGGACTAGTACCTCTATATACATACATACATAGGTATATATTTGAAAATCTCAACATTTTGTAATGTTTATGGAAAATTATAGTATTTTTTTTTATTATTAATTATTTTGAAATAAATATATTAGCAGAAAAAGCGTATTATATATTAGGGTAAAATCTTAAATTATTGTAAAATACCATTCTGTAGCTATAACATAAATTGCAATATGAAATATAAATAATTATTTTAATATTTTGTAAAAACATCTTAGCAAATGCTGCTTTTAATTAAATTTTATTAAAAATATTTATTTCACTTGCAATATATTCTAACAAAAGTCTTTGAATGCAATGAAGAGATTTCATTCACTTTATTAAATTAGTATGAAGAAATGCTTTTTCAGGCATTATAATTTATATTATTTATCATTCATTTGGATTTGCATTAAAATGGTAATTCAAAAAATAATAAATATATATATGTATCAGTTTCATTTTAAAATTTGTAAATAGAAAATATTTACAAAATTTAAAAATATATAAATCATCATATATTAATTTTTTTTTTTTATACTAAAACATTTTCAAGAAAAAAAAAAAAAACATTTGCATGTATTCATATTATTTACAGCAATTAAAACGTATACAGATTAATAAATATAAAATATTAATTATTAAAAGATGCTAAAAATATTTCATAAACATATATATATTATTTATAAATTTACAACTATAAAAAAAATATTATATAGGTTGAATATATAATATATAATATACATATGTTTTTAAACATGTTTTTTTTTATTTATTTTTTTTTTTTATAGATATATACATTTTTTAAAATATATTATTTTGTTTATTAATATTCAAATCTAAAAAATTAAAAAAAACTGCCTCTATTAATAATTATTAAAATCTTGCAAAATCTTTGCTAGTCAAACATATATAAAAATCCCTTTAAAATATATTCCATCAACTGAATTTATGCTCTTCGCTAGTTTGAGTGAAGTTTTTACCATCCCATCGTACGCTCATGTTTTTTATAGCGCTGCATAACGCATGAAGCTGTCAACTCGAACCGCAAACTGCTCAGATCAAAGCAATATTTAAATGTGGTTCCAAAACGCGGGCTGCCGCGGCATAATTCAATTTTATTTTGCGTCAGGCCCCCCCGCCCAGAAAAGTGTCTAGTCTGCCTCCAATCAGGAGACATTAAGCTTCATATAAAGCGTCGAGCTGGCTGCATAGGCATGGACACATAGATACAGATACTTTATGGCCAATGCAGATACAATCGCTTTGGATCTTTGGCATTTCAAACTCAATTGGAGTTTACAGCCAACTTCAAGGCGATTCGAGGCGTTCGTATCTTAAATCAATTTTGAAATGCGCATTTGGCGCTCAATTTGCATGCAAATGCTGTTAATGTTGTTGTTGTTGTTTCTTTTACTTTTTTGTGTGTGTGCTTTTTTTAAGCTGCTAGCTCGTTTTTCTTGTATTTGTTTATGCCATAAATTTGCCATAAAGTGTGCAAAACGCAATGCAAGAAATTCAGCGAAACATAAACAAATCAAATTGTCGCTTTTTGCTCGCGGACCTTTCAGCTGGCCCAGGAGCATGGAGCTGACAGTGATTAATGATAACTGTATTATAAAAATATATTTGTATATGTGATATATGAGCACCTTAATAGCGTTTGCATAGGCTCGTTATAAATTGCGTTTAATCGAATGCGTGTTGCCAAAATATTGCTTGCCAAAAAAAAAACTACAATAAAATAGAATAAAAGAAATCTTCACAATTGACGCCTAGCTGAGAGACGAGCCCAGCAAACTATCTAATAATAAACAAATGCCAAAATGTTAAAATGCGATATCATGTACATATATGCTAACCTTGAGGCCTAAAGACAAGTCTAGACAAGTACATCGTAAGCAATTGCAATTTTGCAAAGTTAGATTCAAGATACCCTCACAAAAGCAAAATTATAGATTATAAATGTTCTGTGTCTAATCAGTCAAAGTTCTGTATGAAACTAAGATGAAAAATATAATAATTGTATATACATATTAAATTTGTTACATATAAATTGTATAATATGTGTATACATTTATTATATATTTCATCTTTTTTTACATAAATATAATATGTATGTATATACATTTATTATATTTTTCATTTTAGTTTCATAAAGAACTTTGACTAATTAAACACAAACCATTTTGAGGCATTTCGATTAAATATATTTTTTATAATTGGTATTTTATATTTTATAAAATTACAAAAGTTTCAGAAATAAAAAAAAATAAAAGTACTTAGCTAAATAGTAAAAATAATTTATTTCAAATTATATAATTATAAATTTAGATAATATTGAAATTAAATTATATTATGATATTATTTTTTATAATTGGTATTTTATATTTCATAAAATTACAAAAGTTTCAGAAATAAAAAAAATAAAAGTACTTAGCTTAATAGTAAAATTAATTTATTTCAGATTTTATAATTATAAATTCATATAATATTGATATTAAAAAAATATATATTTTTGATCACAAATAAAGAGTTGCTTTCGCTTCGACTTTGGCTATATTTTGGCTGCTTAATTTTTAAGATAAATGACTTCACTAAAATCTTCATACCACTCTCGATTTCTTAAAAAATATTTTAAAAC